CCCACTCCACTTGAACGTACCGCGATCGCTATCAGTGGTAGGCTCCTCTTTTCAAGCTGCCCGCGATAACGACAATTGGAATTAATTTCTTCGAGTGCAGACAAACGTTTTAATGGTTTTTCCACATAACCAGAAATCCATTAACGATCTTCACCACCTAACGCTTCGATCGAAGCCCGTAGCTCCACATGAATTTCGCGTTTTTCAATCCTGTCTAAAAACTTCTGCGTTCGCCCAAGGGGTTACGTATAGCCACTCAAAAAGAAGACTCGATTTTCGTCATTTTTTTGTTAATTAAAAGACGAATTTTTAAAAAATCTTCTTACGTTACTGGAAAGAATCATCAAAGTAACAGAAAATATTCTAAAAGGGAAACCACATTAGGGGGCCAAATATTAAGTTCTCTTCGTGATTTTTTGTTTAAAGAAAAAAATTGTCTCCATTATTTCTCAACTTTGAGAATATTTTAGGTGTTTTAAAGTACAATTTTGGTAGTTATTTTAATTCGTTTAAATAAAAATATAAATTCACATTAACATCCCCAATCTATGTATGTGTTTACGAATAATCTTATCAACCGTTAATGTCCATGAATCCGTTACAAAACTTGGTCACGGGAAGGGTTAAAAACCTTGCCCGTCGCATGATTTTTCCCTAGACGAGGAAACTAGAGATCGAGACGTAACGTCATTGTTTTCATTCCGCTCGTTATAGGCATTCTTTTCGCTACTTCGTGACCCAGTTGAACGAATGAAGGTCTTTTGCCGCGAAAGGTTCATTAAAATCCTCTCAATGAAATTGACGCTGTTCCTTCCTAACGAAACTTCTGCTACCCCTCTCGCCCCCCCCTCCCCCGCCCCCGACTGATTCAGGAATTATAAACAAAGAGCAGAAGTGGGTTAACGCGATCGAAAAGTCGAGGTATCGTTGACGGCGATGACGGCGGGGCAATTTGCGAGACTTAACTTCCGAAAATCCGCGGATTTCAATGAGTCCTGCGGCACAGCTGCTTAGAACGAGCTAACGGTGTAAACTTCCCCGAAGGTAATTCGCGAGACGACTGGAAGTCAGCGTGGCTGGTCTATTTACGAAGAGGGAAATATTCTCGCGGAAGTAAACTCGCGTTTACGATGGGCACGCGTTGCCATTTCGGAAAAGCTTTATTTCTCCTGTATATACGTCGTTCAAACGTCAGGTCAGTACGGCGTGCGAGCTGTGGTTTCATTGTGTCGTAAAATTACGCCGAGAGTGAAAAATACGGCGGCCAGTGAGGCGATTCTGTTCAGCATCGAAACCTGACGTCGTTTGAAATGCGACGGGGAACGGTGACAGTTTCGAACGACGATTTATTTCTCAGATATTTCACTCGATGTAAATGTGAAAATAAATTCGGCTGGAAGTATCGCTAGTGGATACCTTTGCCGTTTTCTCTCGGAAAAGTTATTAGATTACTCTTGTTTCTTATTGTTCTTGGTCGAATTCCATTTACAAAAATTAGGGTAGGTACCTTAGAAACGTAATTAGAGTATGTATAATTTAATTTGCCCATTTGAGTATCTAGTGATCTAAAGGTCAATATTTCTTTTTTAACTACGAACAAGTACTAGTTTTAATATATTATTTTAAAGAAATCAATTAAAATTTTTAATTTCAGATAATCCAGTTTTGTGTAATACTGTTCACTGTGAGCCATGTTTCTTTGAAGATCCTTGGTTAGATCGCTCATATCTTTAAGATTTTTGTACATTTTTTGATGAAAATTTGTGTATTATATCTTCAAGCATATATCTTTCGAATAGAAAAACACTGATTATAATATATATCAACTGAGAATAGATAAAAATTCGTGAAGAAGTGCCCTTTTAAGACCTCGTAAGTATTTCTTACCCCTTAAGGCGCAATGTACATTGTAGAAAAATTCTCGTTTGCCGCGACTTCCTTGTGGTTTCCAATGAAAAGCGAAAGAGTTGAAGAACGGTTATTCATTTTCCTGAAGTGTTTGTAGCTCACCCGTCTTTTCTCCGTATACAAGAATTTTCTCTCTAAACGCAATTATACATTACGGAGACTCGAATAATTACGTACCTTAATTTACAAAAACAATCACTAAAACGAGGCAGCGTTTTCCATATAGCCGAGACAGAGCATTCATGGGCAGCTTAAAACGTGTTTCACGCTTTTCGTGTTGATATCCTTTCGCGTTATACAATTTCTCGTCGTTGTGGAACGGTTTTCTCTGCTCACGTTCGCGCGCAAAAATTTCATTCCTCTCACCTGACCCGAACGATTTGCTCCGATGAAAATTGATCTGCTGACAGAACAGATTTAGATGCTTTTTTTGATATTTAAAATCGATAGCGAATACTAGTTATTCGGAGGGAAAAACAGGATGAATAGAGAACACAGAAAATTGTCTAAAGTCTAGTTTTAAAATATACATACGTTAAGAAAAAATAATAAAACAAATGATAGGTTAATTCTATTTGAGGTAAAGTATCATATTTCTCTATGTCATCAACTTACGATTGCTAAAAGGTATTTTAATAATGATATAATAGACTTGTGATGACAAAATCTGTGACTGAACTAAGGCAAGTTATTTTTATTCTCAAGACAAACATGTTAATTTTAATAAAGATCTTCCTAAATGCATATTTTTGTAGATATTTTTGAGTTATACATACGAAAATTGTAAGAAGCTAAGAAAGGTGAGACTATTCAGATTTTATTTTATTTATTTTACTGAAGAATTATTGCCGACGATGTAATGTTTCTTGTTTCATTTATTCGATTTAGAAATATGGTTTCATCGGTGTAATTAATTAAAGATACCGGTAACCGTTGGCCAAACATTTTAGAAACATTTTGTGAAATCGTCGAGCAGAATCTGGTGCACATATGCCAGTCATGAAGTGGTCGGCCGCGATCGTTAGTACTGCTGGCCATTTAACACAAATTCACAGCGTAGTTCTTTCATTCCTTTTTTTTCATCTGCCTAGGTGGCTGTCGGTCTGATCTGTTTCGCAGTCAGCGAATTCCGCGCGCGTTCGTTTCGGAACATCCGTTGCTTCGACACCAGCATCCGTAAAACTAGCTTAGCCTGTAAAATTAGCGATGTCGTTGATCCGCTACACAATTGGTCCCACTATCCCTTGTCTAATCCATTGACAGTTTCGAAAACGATAAACAGTGTTTCATTAGTGTTTCATCCATCTTGTAATTTTCCTCGAGCTGTACATAATATTGTACATTTACCTCGTACATTTGTTCATATTTCCAGTTGCCGTAAATGTATAATCTTCCACAGCCTCGTAATAATATTCTGGTTCATATCTTCTTCATATGTACTTATTTAATCACGTTTAACTCTCTTGATCAATTAGTTTTTGAATTTTTTGTTGCGGACAATCACTATTGCAGAGGGATTCGTTAACGTGAAAAGTTTACGACGGTTATAAAATATTCAATTGATATTATTCAGAATTTTGTCCTCTTAAGATAAAGTGAAATCCAAGTTTCCTATTACCTTTAAATTATAGATATCGATTGCACTTCGGAATTCATTATGAAACTTCAGAACGCCATCGTTAAAAAGTTTTGTATAACTTTTAATAATGCAATAAGTTACATAATTTGAATGATCAATTTCATCTCCTGGGGCAGCCTCATTTATATCTCCAATATCGTTCTAATTTTTATTCAGTCCTGATAAAAGGCGGTTAAAAAAAAAGGCGGTAACAGGAATCCTATTCTTGTTTATTATTCATGAATCAAATATTCAAGAATAAGGAATGTAAAAAGGCAATAATAATCAGTTAGAACTTTTGTTCGATAATTATCAAATAGTCGAAGAATAAAGTAGTCTCTTTCAGTTTTGTACTAAACTGAAACTGAAAACTGTACATTTATAATTTCATCTGTCTTTTATTTATATTAATTAACTCACATTCTTGTTTTTTAATACAGTACTAAGTGTAACATATAACTGCAATAAATTTTCCGAAGAAGTACTCTGTACGTATAAACAATGTTTAATGGTCTCGAAAATATCATAATTTTTACATCGTACAACGGCGGAACAAGTTCTTCCGTTACCAGACAGGTGTCTATAAATTATTTATTCACGATATCAAGTTGTATGTTGGCGCGGGAAGTTGAAACTGTAGAACAACGAGAATTCTCGTTGCGAATTAAACCGCCGCAGCACGCGACGGATACAAGAATTCTCCAGAGTGTCTCGATAAAGTCAAACTCCATGGTACCTCGATATCTCGCTTATCGAGGTCGGATTACTCGCTTTCATCGAAGGGAAATGACACTATCGCTAGTCAACTGACAAATAGCTACAGGGCCTGAAACACCCTGTGTGTAAATATCTCGTGAAAATCGAGAGTAGATGTTCGATGAAAGTACAAATCGCTGTTTTCGTGCGTCGATACTTTCGAGTACTCAATTTCGTTGACAATCAATTGATCGGGAAATTGAGAAGACGTGTCTTTTTTTTTTTTAATTGAAAGTTGGTCGCCAATTATTTGATAGTTTCAAAGAATCAAATTTGAATAATAATTGTTGATTGTATAAATTGCATAAACATGTACGTAGAACTAAGTAAAAATTAATGTATTGATAACAATTAAAGTCTTTGTTTAAAGATTGATTCAGAAAGGAAAATTAAGTTGATACATATTGTTGTTCTAGTGGAATCCCTTTGGACTTCCAAGCCACTCTAATGTAAACAATAATAAAAATATAATATTTCCATGAAACCATATTAATTTATGTACGCATCTGTTTCGTAAATACAAATTTCAATTTCGAGACAAGCCTTACAATTCAACAAATTGCCAAGACTTTCTCGTCCCTATTCCACTAGAAATCTAAGAAAAAATTCCGTGAAGTAGACTACCAACTTACATCCTAATCACTTGGAGTCCAAAGGGTTAATAATTCGTAGATTGAAAATTGGCTAAATCTCATAAACATTCTTATCTTCTTTTCAGGGTGGTTAACCAGAGATTCCTGGACTCGAGGTCTCCCAACCACGGATATTTGGAGCTCCAAGCGCGCACTGACGCTCCAAGGGAGAAAGGAAAGACAATGTGCAGAAAGGCAACGCGGAATTCGTGATCGAATCGCACGATAATGTGTCGAAGTTCGCGGAAGGTTTTCTGTCGAGACGAAAGGTGCGAACTGTTAAAATCGGCGAGGTGATTCCTCGTATATCGAAGTATGTCTTCGTGAGGAAAGCGAGGAATCACAGAGACAAAGATGTGCTGCTCGGGTGGTCCTGGTGGCATCAGACTGACCAGGTGCGGCGTCGTTTGCGGCATCGCGGCGCTCGCGGCTCTCGGCACGGCGCTTTTAGGCCCTGCATGGCTTCACACCGAGGAGAAGTTGCAACTTCCGTATTTGCCGCGCAGTTACGCGAATATCGTGAGTGTACGCTTCAAGCTGGGTCTCTTCAGGGTCTGTCCACAAATCGTGAAGCCTGCCAACGTAACACTCCGTGAGTACGAACGGTCATTTAATTTACACAATGGAGGGTTGGTAGTATAGACAAATGAAAAGTCTTGGACCGCTTTGGTGCATCGTATCTTTTACATTTTTAATATTTCTAGTATTTTAAAATTTATCAATTTTAATGTATTTGACATAAATGTATCGGACAAAAATTTCTTGTGAATAAACTTTTTTAAAATACATAGTATACTACATAGACGAATGAAATAAAAACGAAACATATTTAGGGTACGTTTGAACAAATGAGACTAGGTAATGTTATTATGACAACTTAACACTGTCACGAAACTGAAGATACTATAGAAATTATTCTTTTCATCATTATTATTGCAATACAAATATTTTTATTTCGATACACCTTGAATGGGATAACTGAAGTTAATCTTATCAAAATAAAAATTGTTTTACTATAACCAAACATATACAGTACTATGTTAATGAGAAAGTAAGAACGAAGGAAAACCACCTTTGTTAACGAAACAACTGTAGCATTTTTGGTGTGAAGATTTCAGTTGGTTTCGTTGTTCTTCCGAGGAACGAAAAGTTATAGTAGAGAGTTGGATATGAAGGGAGATGAAAACTGTTAAGATTACATGGCTATCTCTATTCATTAAATTCTTATCTTCTCTACTTAGCCCTTGCTAATTAAATAGTCTGGCAAAATTAATACGCGATACTGTCTTTATCGTCTTCAGCTTCCACTTTCCTCCGACGTCTTTTCTTGGGAATAATCTTCCAGTTTCTCCTTTATTTCCTTTGAAACTTTTTCGTGAAGTTCAAGCAGAAAACCACTATCCAAGAGTTGAAGATTCTTCATCACCTTCGTCCTTTTGTAAAATCTCCGTGCTTCAACGAAAGCTGCGAAACTGTCGCGAAACTGCTCGAGTCGTCTCAGAGAAGAATATTTCTCTCCGTCTCGCCTCTGTGATCTAAAAACAAAATTGGATTTCCAAGGATGATCGAAAATAAACATTAAAACGAATCACAATCTTTGCGGGATGATCGCCATCTTCACTCGCATGGTGCACTTCGAATACCAATCAACCGTTAAGGCCTAAGTTATTAACAAGAGTAATTTATTTAAAAAACGCCAAGTATAGCGCCAAATAAACATGTTAGTAAATCAAAACAACGATATTTTTACGGAAACCTCGTAAAATATATTTTAAATTAAAGAATACATGCATGCATGCGTGTGTAAATTGTGTGTTCGTGTATGTGTGCCAGAATGATTGCGCATGGCATAATCATTCTACGAATCATGCATGATCGCTAGAATTCGGATGACGACGTCGAGTCGTCTTCGGCAATACCGATTAACGGTAGCGTTTATAATTTAGATAATTTTATGTTATGCGTTATTACTTTGTGCTAATTGCGTACCTTTAATATAAAAAGCTTGCAGATACAAGCGAGATTGAATCGCGACACAGTGGAGCGAGTTAATTTTTAGTTACACCTCCCTTTGGATAAATTTCCAACTACGTCACCGACCTCGTCCAACGAACGGTTAAACGAAACATCCGAGGAATTAGATAGCGCAACGACCGTGTTTCCCCGCCTAATCTAAATGAACAGTACTCTCGTTCCGCCCCCGTGAAAACAGATTATACCCGCAGCTTCAATCATCAACGTCGGAAAAGTTCGAGCCGCAGAAAGTTTGAAAAAACATGACCGTATTATTAATCCTTCTTAGTAAATAATCCAACGTTACCGGCGAGTTCCTACGTACAGATGTCTAGCAGACATTTTCTCAAAGTCAATACCCAGAGGGGTTAATTCCGCTCGAGATCCTCGGTTGATCTTGCAGTTGAACAGAATTTCATCTGAAAACTTTCTCCGGCAAGTTCAACACACATCGACAAATATCGAAAACAGCGGGCCCGAGGCTTTCCCGCTCTTCGAGAAAAGTATGGCCCCCGCCCCGCACCTACTACCCTTCCCCCGTGTCAAACAAACTCCAACAGACCGGGGAACACCTTTATCTAGAGACTTCGAAATTTTCTGTCAGCTTTGCGCGCCCTTCTTGTTCCAAGTGTCGGATAGGCGGGGTTCGAGAGGGTGGTATCCAGAAGATTGCCAGCGCGTTTGAACTTCTCTCGACGGGAGCCGTGTCTCTCTATTCCACGACGAAAATCTCGCAGGACAAGGAGGGGCGAACGGCGTTCACGACAGGCGAAGGATTTTCAGGAACGGCATGGAGCGAACGTAAAAACAAATGACAGTGGCTGTAAAGCGGGGCGGAGGAAAGCTCAAGGGGTAAGGGGTACGGTTACATGGGTGGTTGCAACCACCCGGACGATGACAATTTCTTTTTATTTCTCCTTGCCGTCTCGTCTCGCGAGCTCGTTCCCAGCTTTCGACTTTTATTTCTTCTCTAGGTCGCCTCTACGTGTTCCCCGCCATCTCCTGTCCCTGTTTCGCTTCTGTTTCGTCCCTTCGTTCGTGCACCGTAAGATTTCTACGTCGCCACGCGCGGCTACACGCGAAGACGTCCATGTGTCGACGTTGCATTGCTTCGTTTGCGAAATTCTGGTCGTTCTTGTGCCGTGGGTACTAACTAGGCTTCGTCTGGGATGACTGAAGGGACAATAGCGGCGTTTACCGCTCTAATTTTGTTGCGGGACAATTTTACTAGTTTACGAGCGCGTTTTTGTAATTTGTAGCGACGAACGCATGTCGTTGGTCTAATTATTGAAGCCCGCGAGGAAGAAATAGGTTCCTCGGGACATTGGGGATGTGTAAAGGTAACTGAGACGAATGTAGCGATCGTGGGTCAGTTAAATATACGAAGAAAGGCTTCGTGATAAATGTGCATATTTGATGTCTGGCATAATGGAAGAGATTTGTGTTTTACTTTGAACAATAATTTGACATATTCAAAATAAGAATATGTTTATGAATACTGAGACTGTTCATTAGTGTACTTTCTATTAGGAAATGTAATGATCTTATTTGTAACTGAGTATGTTCCAATTGATCTACCATGACACAAAAGTTATTTTGTTGGCCGAGAATAGAAAAAATAAATTTCTGTTAATTGAAATATAACTAAAATAATCGAATAATAACTAGTATTGAATCCAACTATGAAAGTTATGCGAAGGAAGTTTCATCAACGAAATGAAATTCAGAAAAACGGTGGTCCACGTTAAAATAAGTTGAATATTTCCGTTTTATAATGACGTAGTGAAATGAAAAAATGCATGCACGTTACGTGAAATTGTATTTTTGTCCATTTCTATGAATTAATATTTATTTTGTAACTTTTTTTGAAAATATACATATCGTACATTTTATTTCAGAGAAAAATATTTGGAACGCAAACCTTAATTTTGCATAACAGGTTTCTGGGTTGTGCGAGAGTTACCAATATAACGAAGTAGAATGAACTAAATTAATCTATATTGTTGAAGTACCAAACCGAAACATTTATTTCATTTTATTTCCCATGGATTATTTTTCCTCTGTAGAGCAAGTGGAACAATGAATTGCCAAAAAACTTTTGCAGGCCATTGTATGGTCCGAAAGGAAATTGGCATTTTTGCATTAATGGTGTTCGGTATGAAAAATATTTTCTATCCACAATTGACGATTTATTCTTTCATAAATTCTCGAAATTCTATCATATTACGTTGACAATTTTTTCACCAGTTAAAATCTGAATCCAATCATTAACTGTAGTTATTAATCACGGACAAATACATTTCTATAGTTGTATCACCAGTGACCCTATTTCAACTGAAAACCAAATGATTTATTGGCAGTTGTATTATTAATTAATAGACCGGGAAATTGATGCATTTACGATATGATACACTAACATGGAAGGAGTACGAAACATATTTAATGTGTGTCATATATGGTTTATTAATTAGTATAATGATATTAATATTTCGTTTTTAATAAGTATGCGTACCTGTTCGTTATATGTAGGCTATTCTCTTTTAGTATAAATACGCAGTTTATTGATTAGACGTTTGAGTAACAAACTGTAATCGATCCCAGTATTCCTCATTGTGAAAAAAATCAATTTCACAAACAATGAAGACTTTTCTGAATAGACATCTGGGGATATTTCTCGTGTCCACGCGCCCAATTCCTTTTGCGACATGCTGGAAACTTTAGTTAATCTTGCCGGCTGGGGACCAAAAGTTTCGTATTTGACTCTGCCGTTATCTTTTTCGTGATCCTTAGAGCTGAGATCTAGTTTCGATGAATGGAAGAAAAACGGAGAAGGGTCAGTTCGCAAAAGTTGAGAGTGAGACGTCAGTCGCGCCTCCATCCAGTCTTCCTGTACTCCTCGGGAATCTGGGTCTCGTCCTGATCGGTATTGTTTTATTTTTCTCTCGTCGTTTCATCTAGACGGATTGACATACCGACACGGGTGGAATTCTCGAAGCAACGGTCGAAGAAAGACATCAACCGAAAAGCCAGACACGTGTGTAGGATTAAATAAAGCTTTAAAAAGCAATGAAATGGGTACTCTGTCTTCACAAAAAGAAAAAATTGATTTTTTTTAGATATTGTTTCTCTGAAGACTTTTAGAATTGAATTTGATATGCTAACCAACCTATACAAGCAAATAAAAAAAAACTATGTGCGACTATTATTGTTGAGTCAATTTTAAATATTTAGAGACTACCTAAAAAATATCAAAGAAGGTATTTATTATTTTTATATGCACTATTATATACATTTCGAATACAATTTGAATATTCTGCTATATTTTTTTCAGAAGAATATAACCTTGTTTTTAATCATTTGCCTACTAACTAAAAATCGTTATACTTTTATGATTCACTTTATCTGCTATAACTAAAGAAGCACGGCAACGAGGAGGCATAAGTTTCTGATTCATAAGTTCGTAATTCAATTAGAAACTTTAATATGCAAACTTCTTAAGTTCCTTCTAATTCTGCGAAGCCATTATTCATGCTATGCTTAGCATATAGCTGATGGTTATGTGTATATAGGTATACATAG